GAGAGAATGACAGGTCCTCGTACGATCTCGGCGTTCAAGGAGAAGGGAGTACTCAGCCGGCGATAATCTCGTCTCCAAGTGCCCCACTTGGTCCTGGTTAGTTCGAATTTTCGGCTTTATTGGAATGCATACAGTAGCGAATCTTTTAATATCGAGTTCGTGATTTATGCGATCAGCTGAATTTGATCCTTGAGGAATATGGGTACATGTGTCTCTCTGGGTTGCCAATAAAGTTATTGCGTTTTATACGATTATGTGAGATTGTGATGGGATCAATCATAATTTTGGTATTTTCTGGTGGTGTTTTTTCAGATGTTCCTTAATTTACAAATTACTCCATGTTTTTTTGGCCATAAGATTTCCGATCAGTTTCTTGACCATTAGATTATTGGACCTACAAGTTTTCCTGGGGAACGATATCATATCAGGCTAGGGTGTCTATAGCTGCTCGATGTTCAAGCCAATTGAAAGACAGATATCTTCTCTTTATGTTTCTAAGCTTGACACCATGGCTTTTCCTGTTAACTAGGGAATCTGGTGATCCATACTTGCCCTCAGACAAACAGTTTTTGATTACTAGAAATGGTAAATTTGAAATTTTCGAAGCTGTTTTCTGTTTGCCTTGTAGTTTCTGAATTCGCATTCGCTTTTCTACTGGTGGATGACAGTACCTTGTCTACGGAGAGCTGCATCTGTGGCTGAGGAATATGAAGCTGCTGGAGGTGAAGTATTGGTTGATGATGAAGATAATGATGGTTGGCTAGCGACACATGGGAAACCGAAAGGTAGATTTTTGTTATGAGAGATTAGTGCCTTTGAAATTCACTTTTTCCTTCCCATTTAACTTTTTGTCTTGATATTTGCCACAGATAAAGGAAACGAAGATGAAAACTTGCCATCAATGGATGTCTTGGATATAAACGAGAGAAACGCTATCCAATCAATACCCACGTATTTTGGAGGTGAGGAAGATGATGATATTCCAGACATGGAAGAGTTTGACGAGGCTGACAATGTGGTAGAAAATGATCCCGTGAGTTTTTTTTTCCTCTACTCTCGCTATCTCATCATGTGTATATGTTATTGCTCTTTGATAAATGCTTTTGAATTAGCACATAAATAAATTTGACTGGATTTAACCCGGGTGTATCTGCATATATCTATTTTCCAATTTCTTGGTCTACTCGGAGTCTTAAGAAATTTTTTTTTTTTCCAATGATCTTGTGGCTCATGAACCTGATGATGATTACATTCTCCGAACTCGGACATATGATATCAGCATAACGTAAGCATCCGACATTTTCATACTCGACAGAATGTCTTAATGTATTTGACTTTTAGATACAGCTCCCATACTTTTGGGCTTAGTAGTGTAGGCAAACTAATAATTCTTCACTTTGGTTCAGGTATGATAAGTATTACCAAACTCCTCGGGTTTGGCTGACTGGTTATGTCTTAAAGCTAGTGCTATGCCCTCCAAAGATTCAACATTTTAGTAGTACTTTTGATCCATCCAGATGGGATTGCATTCTACATTTCAGACAACAAAGTGATTTTGACTGAAGGAATTGATGGTGTAGTGCCTGTCGATTACTTCCAGAAGATCGAGTCTTGGCCTGATCGAAAACCTATACCTTTCTGATTCACAGAACTCAACATTAATGCGTGAATGCGAAAATTCACAGGTTCTATGACAATGATTGTGGAGATTCTTGTGAACCTTGATTATGTAATATCGCAGTGTCTTCAACTTCAACATGACAATTTATCAACTTTCAAAGTTGTGTTATGAGCAGAAAGAAACCAATTGATAAAAAAAAGGGCCTTTAACGTTAGAAGAATTCAAAGCCCAGCTTTATGAAAGGAATAATATGGCCCAATAGATAAAATACTGATAAGTGGGCGGGTGGGCATGGGTTTATTTAAACGATGTCGTGTTCATGTTAGCAAATCGTGTGTTTTTTTAATCTTCTGTAACTAAATCGTCGTGCTTCTTCGAATCTTCGTAAGAACCCTAAATCGTGTAACTCGTGCTCTATCTCATCCTCTCCGATAGCAGTGACTTTTCCGGAGATCAATAGATCATCTTCTCACCCTAGAAGACACTGAAATTCTAGAGACATAGACAGAGAAACTCGGGATTGATTCAATATACCGAGACCGAGTTCGTAATTCTCGAGTTTCAGAGATAGAGACTCGGTCGAAGAGCCCTTGCTTGACTGGATACTGAGTCAGTAATCTTTGACCTACAAGGTATGTTTCTGAGACACCCAATTAAGTGAGAAACGATTTCAATTAAAATCACATGTTCTGAATCTTCTTATTAAGAGTAATATTGTCTACACTGATTGAAGGTTTTCAAATTAACAGATGATCAATGGTTCCACAATTTAAATCGGCTTTTGATAGTATTTTTTTTGTGTGGAATTGATGGTTTTGATTTTGCATTTAAAATTATTTATTCCTAAATTTGGTCGAGAATAGCCAAGTTTGCCAATGGGTTTTTGTGTGGGCTGAGTTTTTGGTGGACAAGTTTCTGATAGTCTGGAATTGGGCTGGGTAAAATAGCCCAGATTAACAGCCCTAGCCCCTAGATATAGGCCTCCTAAGCCACTGGGTGTTTTCGTAAATTTTGTTGTAGATTTTTTGTTTGTTACAGTGGTCTTTCTCGCACCATAACACTTCCACTAACTCCGTCGTCGTCCCGCCGGTTTCACAGCTTGTTGGTGACTCAGCAAGCACGTCGAACTAACTTGGTCGCCGCCATCTCTCGTTGTTATTACGTGGTTCGCACCTTGTTAAGCCACGTGTTGATGTCGTTAATTCCACACACAACTCTCTTCGCTTTAAACATTCATCTTTCTCTCCGATCATCTTCTCCTTACCTTACCTTAGCTCGCTCTCTCTGTTTTAACTCCTCTATCAGATTTTTATCTTCAGATATGCCTAAGAAGCAGGTTTGCAACTTTCTTTTGAGTTTTCCTCAATCTGGGTATATACATCGGGATTTAACGATTGTCAAATTTTAAATCCTCTCTTATATGATATGACTCTCTCCAAGATCTGCACTTTCTGGGTTTTGATTACTTCGTTCACAATGTATTAGTTTGTCGTGCAGTGATATGACTATGGAGTTTTGATTATCTGGAAACAAGTTTGAATTTGTTTCTTTAAACATTGAAACTTTATGCTTTAAAATCACGGATTATTAATTTCAACACTCCATGACTAAGAGAAGAGTGCGTGAGTCCCACTCGCGTCTCTCTCCTCTCTCCTCCTCTTCTTCTTCTGATAACAACCGCGTGCACCGAGTGAAGGGTTTCTCCGGCGATTCCGGCGTTGATGAGGAACCCATGGTCCATGGCGCGTCATCCGTAGTCCTTTGCATTTTACCGGTGAGGTCACCAAATCGAAATCAAGGGAGTTTGTGGAGAGGAGAAGCTTCCGCGGGACGCTCCGGTTAGAGCTCTACCGGAGATGTGGCGACGCGGAGTGAAGAAGGAGGTTTATTGGCAAAGAACGAGTAAGGTCGGCGGTTAGATCTAGACGATTGGAGACGCAGGAGGCTTTGTCACGGCCAGCGGTTTGGCGGGGGAGGACTACGGCAGGTAAGGCAAAGCTATGCCACCGTCGCCGGTTATCTACGTCTACTCCCTACTGTTTTACCTCTCTCACGACTGAGCCGTGGTCTCCCGACGGTTAGCTTGGTTTCTTCTTCCTTCTCTTCACAGCTCTACGGTGGCGGGATGGCGATGGTCCTGTGTCGTCTTCTCCGTTCGATCTCGTCTTCCTGGCTCGCCGGTGGTCCTGTTCCGGCGAGTGTCTGCAGCTTCGTGGGAAGACGGCTTCGATCGGGTTATCCGATTGAAGATTAGGGTTTCTGTGTTCCCTTGGTTTAGATCGGTTCTGCTGGACGTGGCCAATGACATATATAATCAGAATGAAATTCACATTTATCACAAAAAATATCATTGTAAAAGCTGCTATCGGAGTCAAACCGATTTCTACCACAAAAAAGATTGTGGTGCTCTATCATCTGAGCTAAGCGAGCTAAATTCAAACAAATCAGTAATTTCAAGAGAATCTACAGCACACAATCCGAGAATTACCCTTACTTGAAAACAAGAACAAGGAAACACTAGATTTTTTATGCTACTCTCGAATTACCCAATCACAATTCAAATCAACAAATTCACTCGGATAGATCAAAACAAGCAATCAATAGAAACAATTTAAAATCTCAAAACAAGATCAATCAGAATCGGAAAAATAGTTTCAAGAACAAAATATCGTGTAGAAAAGTTGATATTTGCAATCGACAAAATCTAAAACACACAGAACAGAATATACAAAACGATAAATCACAAAGAGCATCAAATCCAGTCGGAGATACATGTAAAGAATAACAACAAACAAGAGACAAGGATCGAAATAGTTTCAGCAGAGGAAAAAGAAACAGAACGATCTAAGGGTTCGAAAACGCTTTACCTCAAAGATATCTGCAGGAAAGAGTGTAGCGGCTAGGGTGAATAAAGATCGATATATGGAATTAGCAATGAGAGTCGTTAATTTATAGCGTTGAATCGAAACAAAAGTTAGGGTTTAACATAAAATAATAACACTCCCAAAATTACAATTATGCCCCTCTTTCACCGTCAATACTCTTGGTCTTGGGCCTTGGGCCTTGGGTCGGTTGTGTTTCATGAATCCTAGTTGATATAATAGTCCAAAATTTAATTTTAATGTTGAGTGTTCGATCCAAAAGTAGACAGCGAGCTAAAGACATCTTTAAGTATGTTACAAACATTTAATCACACCTTTAAATTAAGGCAATTCAAACAAATGGTTTAGCTACTTATCATATATATCCATGTTCTTCTCCCAAAAACTTCAATGATTGTGTAGCAAACTCAACTATCGTGGTAATATTAGTTGGAACATCACTACTCTATATGACACTCTTCTCTACTAGTATTTGTTACCTCAATGAATGCACATTCTGAAGAGGCACTTGTATCATTTATTTATTCAACATCAAATAAAAAAGAAGAATAATTAACATATATTAACCTCAAAATCTCATGACAATGGAAACGGTTTATTATAATAACAATCATAAGTGTCCCATTCCACGAGCAACCTCAAGCGAGAGCACCTTCCATGTTTCATAAATATTCAGAAAAATTCCAGAGGACCTGAGATTGAGACCGGAGGATCTATCACTAAGCGGCTCGCCTTCCCTTCTAAGTAAAGCTGAGGTAACGTGTTGGCCTCTTTCGCAGTTACGCCTTCTCCAGTCCACAACGTAACATGTGGCCATTCGTTCTTGGAGACTACCGTCTCTCCGTCCACACATCCGACATTGGCAGTTAGAGTTGCCATCTTGTCGTTGTAGATGAGCTCCGTGAGCTCTACGGGTACCTCTCTGTTCAAGTGCTGACCATAGCTGGCTACAGCTGCTACGCCATGGCTTCTCTTGTGGGCAAGCGTCACATGAGACCGTTCAAGTTTTTCCTGTATGGTCTTTTTCTTACCCTCTAGAAAAAATCTCATTGTTGGGTTTGCTACGGCTAACTGATAAGAGAAAACATCTATTATTAACAAAGCCCATACATAACCTTAAGGTCTGATGCATGAGATAAAAGGAAAATATGATGTGTGCCCACTCTGTGACAAATGGGGGCAGGAACAAAAATACGATTTGAGTTTATGAACTTTTAACCTTTAGTTTTCGACGGTTGAAGAGTTCGTGTCTCAATATTCCATTTTTTAATGATAGTTTAAGAATTTGGTTGGTTACCTTTTCAAGAAGACTGTGAACTTGAGTAGCAGGCAAGTTGATGGCAGCGAAAACAATAGACCCATGTTTTGTTTTCTCTGAACTTGGTGGCTTGTATTCACCCTTTGCGATATTTTTTAGCTCTTCTCGCACTAGATGAACCACAGACTCAAATGGAACCTGAAAGTTGCAAACCAGAAAACAAAGATATCATATGCACATCCCTTCTTCCTAAACTCTTTTATCATGTGCTGAAGAAACATTGAAGCAGTTAAAATTCAAGCACAGATTTGTCGCTTTTCATGAGCCATCAAGGACAAAGGATTTTTTACCTGAATAGAATTGAGATACTCAGAATTCACAACTAAAGTATCTCGTAGTTGTTTCTCCCATTTGGTCCATTCTGCTGCATATGTTCCTTTTGTCGACTCGAGTCTACAACAAGAAAAATCAGAAAGAAAGAAAACAGGTCAGAAGAACCCAACCGTAGCTAGAGCTAAAGAGATGAAGTAGAGAACAGCCAGAACAAGAAATGAAAACGTATGTGAGCACTCATGTGTAGGATTTCTCAAGAAACATGATCCAAGTACATCTAATCTAATCACAGGATAAAAAAACTGGTGTCTTCCTTGTTAGTTTTTGCTAAATTATTACTATTGCCCTTCATTTTTTACTGTCAGAACAGACAGTGTTGTTTAAAATATAACACGATGAACAAGTTTTGCCATACGATGCTCAAAATACTTCGGTTTGACATAAATTCAACTTTTCAAGTCATGTAAAAATGCTAGTGTTGGCACCCACCTCCCATGTCTTCTGCTGTGGAGATTAAACAAATTTATGCCCTCCTCAAGAACTGATTTAACAGGATCAGGTAAAGGAGTCCTGTATATGAAAAAAGAAAAGTCAATTAAGTTCTTATAAACCAATTAAATATGAAGTTGCAATTTGTAGCAGTGCTAAGTTCGAGTTTGTTAGCTCGGATGTGATGTCAACAATTTACCTGTCTGATTTCAATAGTGGCATCTTGATGAGGGAGCCAAAGCGCTCAATCAATTCACTCTCAAATTCATTGTGGTTCTGAAAGTAAAAGACAGTTCAATTAAATGTGATATCAAATCATAGATTTACTTAAAACAAAAGTTGTGGTGCATGTGATAATACCTTTCCCTCATAAAGGTGATAAAACATCAATAGCACATAGCCTGCATTTGAAGATTCCTTGTCGAGCTTTCCCTAAAAATATTCATTGCATATGAAAGAAAAGATAGTTTGTTAAGAGATGTAGGGTTGTGATGAAAGTTGGATGATGCAGTTGAAGATAAACTGTATATAAGATGCAACTGTATACCGGATGGTTAACTCGTTGAAGTACCCGGAACATGAATACAGCCAAGGCATCAAGTGAATATGGATTTGTATCGGTTCCTGTGCATTCATAGAGGGCCAAAAGTAGATGTCAAGCAAAAGATCACAAAGAATACAGAGGATGAGGCAAGGCAGTAAAATTGAGAAAACAAAGCAGAACAATACTTTTTTTGTGTGTTGTTAGCGAAGGGTATGCAGAAAATTGAGTATCAACCTTAGATTTAAATATGAATAAAACGGGAACAAATATTTAAATATGAATAAAACGGGAACAAATTCAGTAAAAGATAACTGATCCCTCAACCTTTCATACTCAAAACGTTCACAGGGTTATCATATCAATTAAGGTCAAATATTATGGAACAAATGGAATATGACCATATTAAACAGCACACAAGAAGATTGTTAACTGAAATACATCAAAGAATGGATGCATAGTTACATACCTTCAGAATCAGCAACGATTGGAACTGCAGAAGCCCTAGTTCTTCGACACATGTCTTCAATCTAATAGGGAAATACGAGAATAATATTGAAATTGAGACTTGTTAAAACACAAAATGTGGAAATATATCAGGTCATCGACCTATTATGGATATGGGTATTTTATAAAAAGTGCAAAGATTCTGATAAAAGTCTACTACTAATAAGCCGAAGCCACTATTAAAGGACCCATAGGCCATAGGTAGAGCTATTCCAAATGCTAGCTTACACGAGGAGAGGCAGAGAATCTTATAAGCCTAATACTCAATCCTAATTAATGTGAGGTTGTAACAGATTCTAAACGTAGGATTAATTACTTGTCTCCAGACATCTTCATTTGGAGCATTTTTGTCAGCCAACATAATCGATTGTGGTTTTTTACGACGTTCATCAGCAACCTTTGGCCAATATTTTCCTGTCCAATATATAGAATATTCAATATTGAATGAGATGGCATAGCAAAATTGAGTGACCAGAGCAGTTTTGACCAAAAAAACCCTACATTCTAAAATACCTTTGACAAGATCACCCATCAGAGTATGCACTGGCCTATCATCTCCAAAGCCTCCTGGGGCGTTCAATAACTCCTTGCAAAGTGCAGATTTAGCACATCCAGGAATCCCTGAGAACACATTAAAATTGTAGAAATCAGAGGAAAAAAGATTAAAGGAACGACATATACAGAAAGATATACCACCATTCTCTTTCAAACAATATGTTGCTCACACTTCTAGTCAGAAGTAAAAAACTTGATTTTTGACTAATTTCTTATTATCTGAAATGACTAAAACACTTATCTATAATCTCTTAAAAGCTGGTAACAACTACCATCAATAAGTTCAATATAAGACATTGCCACAAAAATGAAGTAAAATCAACAACTAGAATACATGAAATAATATATAAACAATGCAAATGGAATACCTGGAAAGAATACAATTAACCCCTCATCCTTTTGGACAGCTTCCTTCACAGCTGGCTCAGGAGTAGCTGGTGTCACTCCTTCTTTCTTCACAAGATCGCCTTCTTCATCTAGATCACCGTCCACAATGGCCAAGAAGTCCTCAGTTCTAACTAGGTTCCCAGCAGCCCCTATCAAAATCTGATTCATTGGGCTCCGCTTCGCGTACTGCTCCAAGAATGGCTCAGCTTCACTTAAGTATGTTGATGAAGATAGCTGATCATTCCCACACTTTCTTCTTATGTAAGCAGCCCTGTACATTGTGAAGAGAAGAAGAGATGCTAATCCAGATCAAAAAGCTGAAAAATTATCTAGGCAGTAGGTTACACATTGCTCAGGAAATAAGTTTCAACATAAATATATAAGCTTAGTCTACATGAGTAGAGTAGTGTGATTCTGGTACCATTCATCAAGCATCTTGGTAAGTTCTTTCTGCTTTCCATCTGACGTACCCCAGATTTTCATTTGTCTGGATGCAGAAACAACAATAATGTTAGAAAGAAAAATCAAATTAAAGCTTGATCACGTCAGCTCCTACATAATCAAAAACATAATGAGCATGCAACAACTAGTCTCCCCGTTTTGTTTTACAATGCAATGCAAGTTAATCAAAATCCGGATTACCAAAAACATCACTATAACATTTGACACATCACTCTATATGTATATATTCATAGGGAGAAAGCAGCTCACCTAAGATAGTAGGTTTTGTAAGCTGCTGGCCCTTCTTTAAATAGAATTGATAGGCCATTACGGATCAAAAAGGTTCTCAACTGTAAAAAAAATGAAGATATGTCCAACATCAGGATAATAATGCAACGAAAGAGGTAGGAAATTGCAACAAATTACAAATCCATTTAGCCAGAACACCTTCCTGAGAAAAAATTACCTTGTATGTGAGAAACTTTAATTTGATCATTAAGTTAGCATCACCATCAGCCAAACCATCCTTTTCTCGTTGACCATCATTTTCACTGGCATCTTTGACCGCATTATCAATGCTTTTCAGAGCCATCAGATCCCTCCCTTTGTTTGACTTGAACAAATTAATATCAACAAAGAAACCTGAAAAGAAAAAAGAAGATCACTAACTAATATAGTTAAACGAAAAAAACAGATGGCAATGATCCATAGTATGCTACCACAACAACCAAATCTGAAACGTCCAAGAAAATTTGATTTCCTAACAAAGTTATTTCACATAGACTAGGAACTGTGGAAAGTAGAGACAAAACTATTGAACTCTAGCAAATGAATCAGAAATGGTGCCTAATCATGGATTTTAGAGCAAAGCTAAAGAATAAGAAACAAACAAAATTATTTACCTCGATATAAAGGCCACAAACTAGGCATGTGCCTGAAATACGGTAAAAAATATGGTTCAGTATACAGAAATCAACATTTTCTTAGTTTGACCAAACTGAAAGACATAAGTAACTAGAGACGTCTTTAAAGATAACCTCATCTCTTTTTGGTAACGCCTAAATCCTGAATCGCTGTGCACATGAACAACCAATTTATAAAATAGTTTATCAGGTGATATGTCGTCAGCTCTATGAAAATTATGGTAACATTTGAATGCGGCTGGAAGACGTTTTTCCTTCATCAAGCGTACCATTTCCTATTAAAAAAAAAATTCGGTTGCTCATCAAAAACACATAAATAATGGAAATCTGGTCAATATTACCACATGAAAGGACATTGCAAGTATATATATATATATAACCTATAACTTCAGCGATTCGAAATCAACAAAGACACATATCTCAAGTTACCTGTAATTTACTAGTTGAATAATCAGTAGGCTGAGATTGCAGGAATTTTGTTATAACAGATTTGTCAGCATTTTTCGGATGAGATTCATCTCCAAACCAATCCACGTCACTAGGGCAAAAGCTTGGCCCAACACTCCTTAAAAGTGCTCTCATTTGCTACAGCACCAGAAACAAGGAACTCTAGAATGAGAAATCTTTATCAAGAGATGGCAGCATAAAAATTCCACTTGATAAAGCTTGTCATATTAAATTTCTTTTAGAACCTGTTTCTCGTTAGATCTATGAGCAGCACATATCTCTCTTAGACTGAGTCCCAGATCAAGATTAGCTGAGATATTAAAAGCCAGGGAAATGATTGTTAAAAAATCTACACGGACTTGATAGAGTGGATTATCATGAAAACTAAAGTAAAAATTAAAATATGATACGATAGTGCACCTCCATCACAGGGTGGTGGAGGATGATCTCTCAAGACATTTTCCATATCTCTTGCGCTCTGACTGCTCACGATACGCGCTACAAGGCCAGTGCATACTCTGATGGGTGATCTTGTCAAAGGTATTTTAGAATGTAGGGTTTTTTTTGGTCAAAACTGCTCTGGTCACTCAATTTTGCTATGCCATCTCATTCAATATTGAATATTCTATATATTGGACAGGAAAATATTGGCCAAAGGTTGCTGATGAACATCGTAAAAAACCACAATCGATTATGTTGGCTGACAAAAATGCTCCAAATGAAGATGTCTGGAGACAGGTAATTAATCCTACGTTTAGAATCTGTTACAACCTCACATTAATTAGGATTGAGTATTAGGCTTATAAGATTCTCTGCCTCTCCTCGTGTAAGCTAGCATTTGGAATAGCTCTACCTATGGCCTATGGGTCCTTTAAGAGTGGCTTCGGCTTATTAGTAGTAGACTTTTATCAGAATCTTTGCACTTTTGATAAAATACCCATATCCATAATAGGTCGCTGACCTGATATATTTCCACATTTTGTGTTTTAACAAGTCTCAATTTCAATATTATTCTCGTATTTCCCTATTAGATTGAAGACATGTGTCGAAGAACTAGGGCTTCTGCAGTTCCAATCGTTGCTGATTCTGAAGGTATGTAACTATGCATCCATTCTTTGATGTATTTCAGTTAACAATCTTCTTGTGTGCTGTTTAATATGGTCATATTCCATTTGTTCCATAATATTTGACCTTAATTGATATGATAACCCTGTGAACGTTTTGAGTATGAAAGGTTGAGGGATCAGTTATCTTTTACTGAATTTGTTCCCGTTTTATTCATATTTAAATATTTGTTCCCGTTTTATTCATATTTAAATCTAAGGTTGATACTCAATTTTCTGCATACCCTTCGCTAACAACACACAAAAAAAGTATTGTTCTGCTTTGTTTTCTCAATTTTACTGCCTTGCCTCATCCTCTGTATTCTTTGTGATCTTTTGCTTGACATCTACTTTTGGCCCTCTATGAATGCACAGGAACCGATACAAATCCATATTCACTTGATGCCTTGGCTGTATTCATGTTCCGGGTACTTCAACGAGTTAACCATCCGGTATACAGTTGCATCTTATATACAGTTTATCTTCAACTGCATCATCCAACTTTCATCACAACCCTACATCTCTTAACAAACTATCTTTTCTTTCATATGCAATGAATATTTTTAGGGAAAGCTCGACAAGGAATCTTCAAATGCAGGCTATGTGCTATTGATGTTTTATCACCTTTATGAGGGAAAGGTATTATCACATGCACCACAACTTTTGTTTTAAGTAAATCTATGATTTGATATCACATTTAATTGAACTGTCTTTTACTTTCAGAACCGCAATGAATTTGAGAGTGAATTGATTGAGCGCTTTGGCTCCCTCATCAAGATGCCACTATTGAAATCAGACAGGTAAATTGTTGACATCACATCCGAGCTTACAAACTCGAACTTAGCACTGCTACAAATTGCAACTTCATATTTAATTGGTTTATAAGAACTTAATTGACTTTTCTTTTTTCATATACAGGACTCCTTTACCTGATCCTGTTAAATCAGTTCTTGAGGAGGGCATAAATTTGTTCAATCTCCACAGCAGAAGACATGGGAGGTGGGTGCCAACACTAGCATTTTTACATGACTTGAAAAGTTGAATTTATATCAAACCGAAGTATTTTGAGCATCGTATGGCAAAACTTGTTCATCGTGTTATATTTTAAACAACACTGTCTGTTCTGACAGTAAAAAGTGAAGGGCAATAGTAATAATTTAGCAAAAACTAACAAGGAAGACACCAGTTTTTTTATCCTGTGATTAGATTAGATGTACTTGGATCATGTTTCTTGAGAAATCCTACACATGAGTGCTCACATACGTTTTTATTTCTTGTTCTGGCTGTTCTCTACTTCATCTCTTTAGCTCTAGCTACGGTTGGGTTCTTCTGACCTGTTTTCTTTCTGATTTTTCTTGCTGTAGACTCGAGTCGACAAAAGGAACATATGCAGCAGAATGGACCAAATGGGAGAAACAACTACGAGATACTTTAGTTGTGAATTCTGAGTATCTCAATTCTATTCAGGTAAAAAATCCTTTGTCCTTGATGGCTCATGAAAAGCGACAAATCTGTGCTTGAATTTTAACTGCTTCAATGTTTCTTCAGCACATGATAAAAGAGTTTAGGAAGAAGGGATGTGCATATGATATCTTTGTTTTCTGGTTTGCAACTTTCAGGTTCCATTTGAGTCTGTGGTTCATCTAGTGCGAGAAGAGCTAAAAAATATCGCAAAGGGTGAATACAAGCCACCAAGTTCAGAGAAAACAAAACATGGGTCTATTGTTTTCGCTGCCATCAACTTGCCTGCTACTCAAGTTCACAGTCTTCTTGAAAAGGTAACCAACCAAATTCTTAAACTATCATTAAAAAAATGGAATATTGAGACACGAACTCTTCAACCGTCGAAAACTAAAGGTTAAAAGTTCATAAACTCAAATCGTATTTTTGTTCCTGCCCCCATTTGTCACAGAGTGGGCACACATCATATTTTCCTTTTATCTCATGCATCAGACCTTAAGGTTATGTATGGGCTTTGTTAATAATAGATGTTTTCTCTTATCAGTTAGCCGTAGCAAACCCAACAATGAGATTTTTTCTAGAGGGTAAGAAAAAGACCATACAGGAAAAACTTGAACGGTCTCATGTGACGCTTGCCCACAAGAGAAGCCATGGCGTAGCAGCTGTAGCCAGCTATGGTCAGCACTTGAACAGAGAGGTACCCGTAGAGCTCACGGAGCTCATCTACAACGACAAGATGGCAACTCTAACTGCCAATGTCGGATGTGTGGACGGAGAGACGGTAGTCTCCAAGAACGAATGGCCACATGTTACGTTGTGGACTGGAGAAGGCGTAACTGCGAAAGAGGCCAACACGTTACCTCAGCTTTACTTAGAAGGGAAGGCGAGCCGCTTAGTGATAGATCCTCCGGTCTCAATCTCAGGTCCTCTGGAATTTTTCTGAATACTTATGAAACATGGAAGGTGCTCTCGCTTGAGGTTGCTCGTGGAATGGGACACTTATGATTGTTATTATAATAAACCGTTTCCATTGTCATGAGATTTTGAGGTTAATATATGTTAATTATTCTTCTTTTTTATTTGATGTTGAATAAATAAATGATACAAGTGCCTCTTCAGAATGTGCATTCATTGAGGTAACAAATACTAGTAGAGAAGAGTGTCATATAGAGTAGTGATGTTCCAACTAATATTACCACGATAGTTGAGTTTGCTACACAATCATTGAAGTTTTTGGGAGAAGAACATGGATATATATGATAAGTAGCTAAACCATTTGTTTGAATTGCCTTAATTTAAAGGTGTGATTAAATGTTTGTAACATACTTAAAGATGTCTTTAGCTCGCTGTCTACTTTTGGATCGAACACTCAACATTAAAATTAAATTTTGGACTATTATATCAACTAGGATTCATGAAACACAACCGACCCAAGGCCCAAGGCCCAAGACCAAGAGTATTGACGGTGAAAGAGGGGCATAATTGTAATTTTGGGAGTGTTATTATTTTATGTTAAACCCTAACTTTTGTTTCGATTCAACGCTATAAATAAACGACTCTCATTGCTAATTCCATAGATCGATCTTTATTCACCCTAGCCGCTACACTCTTTCCTGCAGATATCTTTGAGGTAAAGCGTTTTCGAACCCTTAAATCGTTTTGTTTCCTTTTCCTCTGCTGAAACTATTTCGATCCTTGTCTCTTGTTTGTTGTTATTCTTTACATGTATCTCCGACTGGATTCGATGCTCTTTGTGATTTATCGTTTTGTATATTCTGTTCTGTGTGTTTTAGATTTTGTCGATTGCGAATATCAACTTTTCTACACGATATTTTGTTCTTGAAACTATTTTTCCGATTCTGATTGATCTTGTTTTGAGATTTTAAATTGTTTCTATTGATTGCTTGTTTTGATCTATCCGAGTGAATTTGTTGATTTGAATTGTGATTGGGTAATTCGAGAGCAGCATAACAAATCCAGTGTTTCCTTGTTCTTGTTTTCAAGTAAGGGTAATTCTCGGATTGTGTGCTGTAGATTCTCTTGAAATTACTGATTTGTTTGAATTTAGCTCGCTTAGCTCAGATGACAGAGCACCACAATCTTTTTTGTGGTAGAAATCGGTTTGACTCCGATAGTAGCTTTTACAATGATATTTTTTGTGATAAATGTGAATATCATTCTGATTATATATGTCATTGGCCACGTCCAGCAGAACCGATCTAAACCGAGGGAACACAAAAACCCTAATCTTCAATCGGATAACCCGATCGAAGCCGTCTTCCCACGAAGCTGTAGACACTTGCCGGAACAGGACCACCGGTGAGCCAGGAAGACGAGATCGAACGGAGAAGACGACACAGGACCATCGCCATCCCGCCACCGTAGAGCTGTGAAGAGAAGGAAGAAGAAACCAAGCTAACCGTTGGGAGACCACGGCTCAGTCGTGAGAGAGGTAAAACAGTAGGGAGTAGACGTAGATAAACGGCGACGGTGGCATAGCTTTGCCTTACCTGCCGTAGACCTCCCCCGCCAAACCGCCGGCCGTGACAAAGCCTCCTGCGTCTCCAATCGTCTAGATCTAACCGCCGACCTTACTCGTTCTTTGCCAATAAACCTCCTTCTTCACTCCGCGTCGCCACATCTCCGGTAGAGCTCTAACCGGAGCGTCCCGCGGAAGCTTCTCCTCTCCACAAACTCCCTTGATTTTGATTTGGTGACCTCACCGGTAAAATGCAAAGGACTACGGATGACGCGCCATGGACCATGGGTTCCTCATCAATGCCGGAATCGCCGAAGAAACCCTTCACTCGGTGCACGCGGTTGTTATCAGAAGAAGAAGAGGAGGAGAGAGGAGAGAGACGCGAGTGGGACTCACGCACTCTTCTCTTAGTCATGGAGTGTTGAAATTAATAATCCGTGATTTTAAAGCATAAAGTTTCAATGTTTAAAGAAACAAATTCAAACTCGTTTCCAGATAATCAAAACTCCATAGTCATATCACTGCACGACAAACTAATACATTGTGAACGAAGCAATCAAAACCCAGAAAGTGCAGATCTTGGAGAGAGTCATATCATATAAGAGAGGATTTAAAATTTGACAATCGTTAAATCCCGATGTATATACCCAGATTGAGGAAAACTCAAAAGAAAGTTGCAAACCTGCTTCTTAGGCATATCTGAAGATAAAAATCTGATAGAGGAGTTAAAACAGAGAGAGCGAGCTAAGGTAAGGTAAGGAGAAGATGATCGGAGAGAAAGATGAATGTTTAAAGCGAAGAGAGTTGTGTGTGGAATTAACGACATCAACACGTGGCTTAACAAGGTGCGAACCACGTAATAACAACGAGAGATGGCGGCGACCAAGTTAGTTCGACGTGCTTGCTGAGTCACCAACAAGCTGTGAAACCGGCGGGACGACGACGGAGTTAGTGGAAGTGTTATGGTGCGAGAAAGACCACTGTAACAAACAAAAAATCTACAACAAAATTTACGAAAACACCCAGTGGCTTAGGAGGCCTATATCTAGGGGCTAGGGCTGTTAATCTGGGCTATTTTACCCAGCCCAATTCCAGACCATCAGAAACTTGTCCACCAAAAACTCAGCCCACACAAAAACCCATTGGCAAACTTGGCTATTCTCGACCAAATTTAGGAATAAATAATTTTAAATGCAAAATCAAAACCATCAATTCCACATAAAAAAATACTATCAAAAGCCGATTTAAATTGTGGAGCCATTGATCATCTGTTAATTTGAAAACCTTCAATCAGTGTAGACAATATTACTCTTAATAAGAAGATTCAGAACATGTGATTTTAATTGAAATTGTTTCTCACTTAATTGGGTGTCTCAGAAACATACCTTTCCAAAGCTTGATCTTATAGTTTCTAAGGCCACTGTAACTAGAAAAGTGTATAAGAAGAGCGAACCTATCTAGAAGGCAGTAAACGGGCAGTCCAACCTTCAATCTCCTTGACACCAACATCAAAACGTGGGCTGATGACACCACACTTGTTCAACCTTCCATTTAACTCAACAACGATCTTGCCAGATCTGTGGTCATCGACATACTCAAACTCGCCGATGTAACCTGCATTTGATTGGTAACCACACAGTTTTAGGAACAACACCTAGGGATCTCCAGGAATCTCTATATATAAAAACTAGTGGGAAAAAATCATACCGTGCTTCTGCATGACAATCAGAAACTTGATAATCACTTTTGAGGAAGGCCTGATCATGACCTGCCTCTTGCCTCGTTTCTCAGCATTGTACATGCTCTTGAGAGCATCGTTAAGAACACTGATTCTCACCATCTGTGCATATCTTAATTGCTTGCAGTCACATTGATATTGGATTGATAAACCTGATATACTATAATGACATGTGTATTAGGGATTGATACTTGTTAGACAGAGAAATCCTATTATCACGGATGCCGTAAATGCAGAAGTAGAAAAACTCCTGAAGATCGGTTCAATCTCCGAAGCAAGATATCCAGACTGGTTAGCAAATCCTGTCGTGGTTAAAAAGAAGAACGGCAAGTGGAGAGTTTGCGTCGACTTCACCGATCTTAACAAAGCTTGTCCCAAAGACAGTTTTCCGCTCCCATATATCGATCGTTTAGTAGAAGCAACTGCAGGAAATAAGTTGCTATCGTTCATGGATGCTTTTGCGGGATACAACCAGATTCTCATGCATCCTGACGACCGCGAGAAGACAGCCTTCATCACAGACCGAGGTATCTACTGCTACAAAGTCATGCCCTTCGGACTCAAGAACGCTGGCGCAACGTATCAACGGCTCGTCAACAGGATGTTCTCCGAGCAGCCCGGGAAAACGATGGAAGTTTACATCGATGACATGCTAGTCAAATTCCTTGAAGAAAACGATCACATAGCCCATCTACGCGACTGTTTTCACCAGCTCAACAAGCACAACATGAAGCTCAACCCGGCAAAATGTCGTTTCGCGGTAAAGTCGGGTGAATTCTTGGGATACCTCGTAACTCACCGAGGCATCAAAGCAAACCCGAAGCAAATCGATGCTCTACTGAACATGCCCTCACCACAGAACAAGCGCGAAGTCCAACGTCTCACCGGGAGAGTCGCAGCCTTGAACCGATTTATCTCGCGGTCCACTGACAAATGCCTGGCTTTCTACGATACTCTGCGCGGAAATAAGAAATTCGAATGGACTGATCGTTGTGAAGAAGCTTTCCAGGAGCTGAAGAAGTATCTGGCTAATCCACCGGTTTTGGCAAAACCAGTCCCGGGCGAGCCATTATTTCTGTACATTGCAGTCTCTGATACAGCAATAAGTGGAGTCATAGTCAGGGAAGACAGAGGAGAGCAGAAGCCGATATTTTATGTCTCGCAAACTTTCACCAACGCGGAAACACGCTACCCGCAAACTGAAAAGCTCGCCCTTGCCGTAGTAATGTCAGCTCAAAAGCTACGGCCATACTTCCAGTCTCACTCAATTGTCGTCATGGCGCCCGTATCACTCCGAACTATCCTGCATAGTCCGAGCCAATTGGGATGCCTGGCCAAGTGGGCAGTAGAACTCAGCGAGTATGACATCGAATACAGGAACAAAACATGCGCGAAATCTCAAGTCCTGGCCGATTTTATCATCGAGCTGCCAACAGAGAACGCCCGAGAAGAGTAACCCAACGCTGTTTGGATCCTCCACGTCGATGGCTCATCCTCAAAACAAGGTTCTGGCGTCGGAATCCGCCTAGCATCACCAGAGGGTGAAATCCTAGAACAATCCTTTTGGTTAAATTTCGACGCGACTAATAACGTGGCTGAGTATGAAGCGCTAATAGCAGGACTTAAGCTAGCTCGGAGACTTAAGATCAACAAGCTGCGAGCCTTTTGCGACTCCCAGCTTGTGGCTAATCAATTCAATGGAGAATACGCGGCTCGCGATAAACGAATGGAAGCGTATCTTGCTCTCACGCAAGACTTAGCGAAACAGTTCGGAGAGTTCGAGTTAACCAGAATCCCACGAGGTGAGAACACATCGGCCGATGCCTTAGCGGCTCTAGCTTCAACCTCTGACCCAAATCTGAAGAGAATCATACCGGTTGAGTTCATCGAAAAGCCGAGCATTGAAGATAATAGCAAGGATCAAGTTCTAACAGCTCGGGAGACAGAAGAACCAGAAGAAATGGACATCGAACTGCTAAACCAGCAAACTATGGACACAACTAAGCCCGAATATGGAAGCGACGCCAAATGGATCGGAGCCATCTAAAGCTACATAGCCGATGGAGAAGTTCCTACTAAAAAATGGGCAGCTCGGAAGCTTAAAGCAAAAGCGGCTCGGTATACTCTGATCGACGGAGAACTATTTAAATGGCGATTTTCCGGTCCCCTCCTTATCTGTGTCGAAGGAAATGAAGCTCGGAGAGTCATGGAAAAAGTACACGGCGGATCTTGCGGAAACCATTCTGGCAGGAGAGCCCTAGCTATAAAGATCAAACGCCACGGATATTTTTGGCCGACAATGGTCAAAGACTGCGAGAAGTTTTCTCAACGGTGTGACAAATGCCAGAGGCACGCACCAACCATTCATCACCCCGCCGAGCTCCTCTCTTCCATCACTTCTCCTTATCCATTCATGCGATGGTCCACGGACATCATTGGACCTCTACACAACTCCAAGCAGAAGAAACTCGTCCTCGTACTGACAGACTACTTCTCCAAATGGATTGAGGCGGACTCCTACGCCAGCATTAAAGACGCGCAGGTCGAGAGCTTCGTCTGGAAGAACATCATACGCCGCCACGGGATACCTTACGAGATCGTTACAGACAACGGATCGCAGTTTATTTCGGCTCGGTTCGAAGGATTCTGCGAGAAATGGGGAATTCGCCTCAGCAAATCTACGCCTTGGTACCCTCAGGGAAACGGACAGGCCGAAGCGGCAAACGAGACGATTCTCGACGGAATAAAAAAGCGCCTCGACGCGAAGAAAGGCCGCTGGGCCGACGAATTGGAAGGAGTATTATGGTCGCACAGAACCACGCTGCGGCAGGCCACGGGAGAAACGCCTTTCGCCCTTGTCTACGGTGCGGAGTGTGTGATTCCCACCGAAGCCGAGATCCCGGGACTAAGAAGACGTTTTCTCCCCGAGCAGGAAAATTCCAACACTCAGATGATGCTGGACGAGCTGGACTTAATCGACGAAAGAAGAGATTCGGCTTTGATCCGTATGCAGAACTATCAGAATGCAACGGCTCGGTACTACAATTCTCACGTTAAGCATCGCCGTTCACGAAGGAGATCTCGTACTGTGCAAAGTTTTCCAGAATACCGCCGAACAGAACGCAGGTAAGCTCGGCGCGAATTGGGAGGGACCTTACACGATCGCAAAGGTAATCCGTCCCGGCGTCTACGAACTCATCAACATGAACGGCAAAGCGGTACCTAGATCCTGGAATGCAATGCATCTAAGGAAATACTACCGCTAAAAACCTAAGGTACGCATGTACTCGAACTACGGGGTGGCTTGATCCCTGAAAAGGGTACGTAGGCAGCTCGTCCTCGGACGAGTTCAGCTACCCCCCCTAATTAAAAAAGGAGGGGGGAGTGGGTCCGTATACATATACTCCCACTGAACTTTTTAAACTAATTTTCTAGTTTTTACCCTTCGGGTTATCAATTTTATCCACCTCGACATCTATCATAAAAGTCACCTCGGAAACTTTTACGGTCATCTTATCGACCTATAAAGCTAAAAGTTCGTTCGAATGATGGCCACGTCCTTGGACAGAAAAAGCTCATTTCACCGCCTAGTTTACAGCGCGCTATATAAGCATTCAAGACAATTCGGTCAGAGATATCTTGCCAAAGGAATTATCTTCAGAAAACCCAGTTAACTTCGACATTGGTACCCCAGTTCGCTTCTAAGCACTGGCATCGACTATATCAGCTCGGGTCGCAACCGATAAAGATTAGTCTCACATGACCAAAACCAAATAACATTAACATTGGTGTATATTTCGGCTCGGAAGTTAAAACGTTTGAATTTAACTTCTCAACGAGCAAATCATAAACCCAGTTATCTTAACACTGGTAAACGATCTTTTTCGTTTTTGGCTCGGAAGTTAAAATTATTAGGCAAAACTTTTAACTTCTCAACGAGCAAGTCATAAACCCAGTTATTTGACAATGGTATCGGATTCAGCTTAAAATATTTTAAAAGTACTTTAACATAATATTCAGTGGATAAAGCCGTCTAGGCATGTCTTACAAAAAAAAAAAAAAAAGGGCAAAAGAAAGGAGAAAAAGACATCTCGGGATCAGATCGAATCTTGGTTAACCGGCGAAACTTGAGCTGCCTCGGAATCTCGGTTAGAACCCGACTGATCGGTAACACCTACTACGGCCGCGGTGCCTTCGATCGATCGGTTCCCAAAGCTATCATCAATAGAATCCGGAGAAACCGGTGGAAGCTTCAGGTCCTCTCGCAGCTTGGTTCCGAGACGGACGTACTCTTCCTCGGCATCCCCATACTCAGCCATCCATTGAAGGACCTCTGCCTTCTCATCCTCGACCTTTTTCCCTTCTGATAGTAAGATTTTTACTAAGATCAATTATCCTTAAAGTACTATCATGTCATTGCAGTATTTAAGGTGTCAATCTAAATGGGTGTGATGCTAGCAATCAAGATGCAATCAGATTTCACAGAGTCAAGCCAAGCAATAACAGGTTTTGAGGTTGTTAACAGTTCCTCTGATCATGCAGAAAACAATAATTCTAACAGAAACAGATAACACACTCGATCACACAGCTTGATGCCAAGCACTGGATGTGGTCGAGTGCCAGGTCGAGTTCCAAACAGAAACTGCAACAAATGTACTCGACTGCACAGTCCGTTTCCAAACCGCTGGGTGTGGTCGAGTACTTTAAGTGAAATAAGTAAAAATGCAAAAACTAAGCAACAAGTAACGAGATCAAGCAATCAATAGCGATGTGAACAAAGAAATCAATTGGAAGAGAAATTCCCGAGGATGGGGTAATCGAGTAGTGAAGTCTCCTTAATCTAACAGGTGGTTAACATGCTCAACAAACTATCCCTAGACAACAAGTTCAATAGCCAAATCAAAGTGCTACCGCAACAGAGATCCTCAAGCAAAGCTAGTCCCAGACTCAATCACCATTGACGAGAGCTAACCTAACAGGCATTACGAATCAACAAGTCTAAGCCAAAACGCTCCCTGTAACCAATACCTTGGTGCAGAGCCACGAATCTCTGGAATTAGTGGTTCAGACATTTCATCGAACACCTTTTGGGTGCGGAAATG